TAATATTTAGGCAAGACATGGCATAGCACCTTGTATATATAAAGCTCTCAGTAAGTGTCAGTTCATGTATTAGCTACTAGCAATCACCAAAGGCAAAAAAAAAAACCTACAAGAAACTTGATATCATATTTCCCCAGTTATTAGAAACACAAGCCACACAAATGAAGGAAATCCACTGTTGAGATAATTCAGAGTCTATCACTGCACCCTCTAATTCAGAATCATCTCACATCAAAACCAGCATTTACAATGTTAAGATAACACCTAGGAAATGATAATAGATTTACTTAAAAAGTAACCCAGTCCATTTCTGCAATATCCAGACATTCTGGTTCTTCCACCTTAAACCAAAGAAGTTCAATAGTTAAATTTTTCCAGAGGAAGAAAATGTGGTAGTGTGACATAAAGGCAAACATAGACAAACTTACCACTTTCTTTTTTCATGCAGGCATGCTTAGCGACCTCTACAAAATAAAAGCAAGTATTAGTGAATTGTTTATATCCATTATTTGACAGTGTGTGTCTCTGCGTGTGTGTGTAGATAGACAGACAGGCTGACAGATTCTCCCAAGGGAGGAGAAAATCATTAAAAATAAGAGCCCTACAAATTTAAGAACAGATGGTCTGATTTGACTTAATTCAGTAGAGCTAACTCATATGTGGTTTTCTGTATGTGACAATGTTGAAGTTCATGAAAGGGACATTTTTCTTCTCCTTTGTTACAATCAGAAGGTGATATTAATATCTAAGAGCATCTTTCCTGGTGGCTCAGATAGTAAAGAATCTGCTTGCAATGCAGGAGACCTGGTTTTAAACCGTGGGTTGGGAAGATCCCCTGGAGAAGGAAATGGCAACACAAGTCAGTATTCTTGGCAACACAGTCCAGTATCCTGGAGAATTCAATGGACAGAGGAACCTGGTGGGCTACAGTCCATGGGGTCCCAAGGAGTCAGACATGACTGAAGGACTAACACTTTCACTTTCAAGACCATCTTATTTTCCTTCTGTATTCATAGCTTCTAACACAGTGTCTGTCCCAAAGTAAGTGTTCAAGAAATACTGTCAAAAAGACAAATCATCAGCAAAAGTGACTGTTCTACTGTCGTAAGCACCCACTGCTTACGTGAAGGGATGCTCTCAAAAGGAATGCATCCAATCCTAGAATCCACAACAGAATCTCACATTTGAAGGAGTTTGGCTTAGGTAAATTTCACACCTAGTCAAAAAAAACAGCCAAGCCTTTCCAAGCCACACATACTCCAGTACGCCCAATTCACATATGTGATTTTCTGCTGTCATGGAATTTATGGATATTAGGATAACAATATAATGCCTGGAAGATTTCCTAGATAAGAGAATGGCTACCCACTCCATTATTCTTGCCTGGGAAATCCCATGGACAGAGCAACCTGGTGGGTTACAGTCAGTGGGGTCACATAAGGTCACTCAGACACAACTGAGTGACTAACTGACTAACTATTGGCTAGTGAGTGATTATTACTGTGCCAGACATTTAATGAAATACTTCACATGCATTATCTCCCTTAACTCCCCAATGACACTGTGAGTCATAGTGGGGAGGTATTCAATGTCACAAAAGGGGAATAAAAGTTAGAGGATAAGTCATATCAGTGATGACAGTACAGTCAAATGTTGGTTGTGGGGGATTAAATGAGATAAACCATGTGAAAGGTACTTGTAAAAATAATCCATCGAAATACAGAGAAATTAATCTCTAAAGAGACCGTATAATTTCACCATGTTAGTCACTCAGTGATGGACATCAAAAACACCTTTTCCAGAGTTCTTAACTATTCTTAACAAATGAAATATTTATCATAGGAGCTCAGCATTTCAGTGCAATTCTTTCCAGAATGGCGAGAGAGACCAAATCACATTACTTGTTCTTGACAATATAAAACTTGATGTGAGAGTTGTATTTATCTAAAGTGAAAAAAGGCAAGTATTCATACAAAGACAAAATTTCTTTAGAACATAATAAACTGTTGGATGGAGGGAAGCAGAGACACAGAAATTGTTTCGGTTTATCCTTTTTATCCTAGATGTGTTTTTGTCCACATGATATGGTTCTGGTGTGCTGTTTTACACCCTTGAGATCTTTTTTTGGTTCACTCTAAAAAATGCATTTGGGATACAGTGTCCCCATTTTTCAGATGTTCACCTTTTACCACTTTGCTTTTACAAAAGATCTATATAAGTACCTGTTTTCACAAAGGAATCTGAAGAGGATTTTCAGTTTTATGAAGAAAGGCTAGAAGCAAAAGTAGCATTTAGTGTTTATTTTGCAGCCAGCCGTGATAGAGGCAGTGGGTACTCCCAGCAGCAAGGACAGCCTTGCCAACGAACTGCACTCAGCATCTCAGCATCACATTGCCATGGCTCTGAACTGTGTCCGCAAGCATCTGTGCTTTATTTTCTTTCTTCTATATACATATAGTTTTATTTATTTATTTATTTAGGCTGGACTGGGTCTTTGTTACTGCGTGGGCTACTCCCTAGTTGCAATGTGCAGGATTCTCTCGTGGAGTGCCGGGTCTAGGGCACATGGGCCCTAGAGTGGCCCCAGGCTCTAGTGCACAGGCTCAACAGTTGTGGAGCTCAGGTTTAGTTACTCCATGACATGTGGGATCTTCCCAGACCTGGGATTGAACCCATGTCTCCTGCATTGGTAGGCAGATTCTTTACCACTGAGCCACCAGGAAAGCCCTGTGCCTTATTTTTTGTTTACTTTTTGTGCATTTGTTAGCCAGATGTGTCAGATGATTGCTTCTTCATTTATGCCTTTCAGCTTAGGAAAGATTTCATAGGAACAGTCTACTTTTGGGTAAAAGCTAAACCTGTGTAAACGTTGGGGTAAATCCCAAGAATGAAAATGCTAGCACACTTAAGTTAGATGTTAAAATATACTTAAGAACTGGCTTTAATAAGTCTTTAAAAACTCTTTCTTTTCCTTACAGTGAACTTATTATAATATTAATAAAGATCGCTTATCACCATTCATTGATCGAGCTAAAAACAATAATGTAAAATTTTTTCCTCGTAAAATCATGTAAGTATCCTAAGTTCTCTTTCTCAGTCATCGTTGGTCAAAAACATGGATCAGATTGGTTTTTATGTGCCTTTAAGATCATGTCATTGATTTGTGCCTCCATATCTATTTTTATTTTTAACTAACACAACAAAAACAAAAACAAACAGAAACTTCTAAGAAACAACATTAGGAATTTAGTGTAGAATGACTTTGATAAAATGCCCTTATTAGCTATGTTGCTCTGAGAAGACCATGGGAGTCATTTATTTCAGAAATTAAGTGCCAAGTAAAATATATTATGAACTGGAACATCTCTCCTTTATGGTCATCATCACCTAGAACTTATTATTCCTATTTTCCTCTGAATATTAGGAAAATCAAAACCTAATAGGGCATTTAAGCCCAAGGTTATATTAAACTTACTTTGTATATTTGCTTCCCCTCTGTTTCTTAGGTGTAGAAACAGAAATATGGGGTTGTTTCTGTAATTGTACTATATTTAGTTTTAGAATAGGATATAAATAAATACAATGAATATATGAATAAATACCACAGTATTATGTTTTGGAAAGCAAGCATTTTCTCCGATGTTACTTCATCTGCTCTTCCTCACGGCTCCAGGACAAATCCAAGGCAACCACTCAAATGTAATTTGATCATTGGACAAACTAAGGATCTGAGAAGATAGACTTACTTCAGAAATTCGGACTCCTACACAAAATCTCCACGCAGTTTTTTTTTATGCTTGGTTCCCAATGCTTAAAAAGGCTTCCTAACCACAGAGAGAAGTACAAAATGATTCCTTCTTATGGACACTCTGGGGCCTTTGGTCTGTTAGGCAAATACTCAGGACATCAAGTTCCAAGTCCAGGGAGTTACAGGACCACTTACAGGATGAAGGCACATCCAGCCCTCTGCCTGCATTGTGCGGACATGTCCTGCATCTGCATCAAACGGACTCCTTTGGGACATCATGCCCAAATCACTAGTAACTCTGAGTGATTAGGGAACGAGTGTATTCTCTTTTGGAGAAGGAAATGGCAACCCACGCCAGTATTCTTGCTTAGAAAATTCCATGGACAGAGGAGCCTGGCGGGCTATAGTCCATGGAGTCGCAAAGAGTCAGACACAACTGAGCAACTAACACACACCTTTAACTACAAAATTTTAGCTTAAGGTAGTAGGTAAAACACAAATCTCAAAAACCGAAGACCATAATAAATAAACCTGCAGCAGTAATTATTCTACTTTTTGTTGAGCTACAACCTGAATTCCTCATAAAAACCACCATTTTGTCATTTAATAGCTCATTATTTCTGGGTTATATCTTGAGCAAAGCAAGACTGAAGTAAGAGTGACTTTACTTGCTGAGTAGAACTTTTCTGGAGGGTATACAGTTGTTCTTATTTCTGATCAAGTAAGACCATCAAAAATGGAAAATCTTTCGGTGTGTTTATTGCATGCTAACTGATAGGTACTTTGAAGTGTGTTGTTTCATTTAATCTACACAACAACACTAAAATATATCATTGTGACCTTTGTATTTTAGATGATCAAACTGATCTGAGAAAGGTTTACTAATTTTTTTTTTCTTTTTTATGTTTCAAAGTGAAAATGAAAGTCACTAAGTCATGTCCGACTCTTTGGAATCCCATAGACTCTACAGTCCATGGAATTCTCCAAGCCAGAATACTGGAGTGGGTAGCAGTTCCCTTCTCCAGGGGATCTTCCCAACCCAGGGATCAAACCCAGGTCTCCCACAATGCAGGCAGATTCTTTACCAGCTGATCCAGCCAATACAATTTAGTAGGACATTTAGGCTATCATTAAAGGTAACAACATTTAAGATGATTTATATTTGTTTTCATTAATGCTTGATTGAAAAGGTGGGGTAGTTCCTTTGGAAAAAAAGCATTATTGGAGGTTATATTTCTTTATGATCTCGTACCTTTGTTAACTGAAGAAAAAAGAATCTCTTGATCACGTCCACCTTTGTTATTCTCGTGTTTGACAATACATACATGTTCTTTATCCATTGCCTTTTTAGTCAAGGTCAGCCAGCTGAATTTCATGTATGTGTCATTGGTCTTGATGATATCTCCCTGTTGGGATTCCAGAATTGTATTGCCATTCTTTTCTTTCCATTGTACCTTAATAGCATCAGGGAAAAATTTCTGAAGAAGGCAAAGATGTGTTCCAGCCATATGGAGTTTTACTTCCTCAACTGAAGGGAAAAATATAGTGGGCTTGGGAAACAAGTCTCCATCAAGCCTTCTATCTGTGGGGGGAAATGGAACAGAATTGAAAAGAATTATTAGAGAAACATACATGTCATGTGGTTTGGAACAACTTAGCTTAGAGTGAAAAAGTGAAAAGCTGCCAGTGAATTAACTCTAATCATGGCTTTTCATCCACAGTAGATGATGAGGTACCTATTATTGTTTTGTTTCAATGGGAAGAGATGTTCAAAAAGTTATATCACTTGCCAAAAGTCACAGTTTTTCAGAAGCAGAGGCTCGCCCACATCTTGGCTTTGGTTCCTTTTCCACCTGCTAAGTTGGACTATGACTTAAAAATGCCCCATATCAATGCTTGTGATATTCATAAACAAATTAATTTTCTTAAATCTCTTTTGTTCTATCATAGTGGAGACTGTTTTTAAAGGGATGGGAGTAGGCTATGGGTTTAGGGGAGGAGACCAGGTAACTTTGATGGTTTCTCTACAGGTAAGAATCTTTAGTTGCTTCTAAACTACTTCCCTTTCCTATATCAGGTTTTGTAACTTATGGTCTCTTTGGCCAATTAATACATTCTCACATTCTGCAAATATGTTGACCCTCATTCTTCATTTAACTTATTCTGGGATATACCATACTTATTTTAATTCCAAAATAAATAAATGTCAGGAGAGGTTATCATTTTAAAACAATATACATTCACTTGTATTCATGGGAATCTATGTCCACATGTATTTAACAATCTAAATTGAACTTTTAGCTTCAAATGTGGGTCCTATGCTCAGTTCTGAAGTTCTGAAGTTCTCCTAACTGATTGACAAGTTTATACAACTTCTCAATGTCACATCAGAATCACTCTAGACTTTTGAGTGGGGCAATATTAAAGTTTCACCTTTAAATTATTTACAGTGTCTTGAATTTAGAAGCAAAAAAATATTTTCAGTATTTCTATTAAAATAAATTATTTTCAGAAATGTTTTTATCTTTATCTTGCCAAGTAATGCAGTTATAGAATTTTGTTTTGCTTTAAAAAGTGTTCGTCAAGAACACATTTTATTTTGGAATTTCATTCAAAGTTGAAGCATAACTAAGAACACACCATATTTTGACTTTCAGTGTTTCCCCTCAAATTTAAATCTACCTTGGGCTGCTAAACTGTTTACAAACTAAAATATTTTTTGTTTACACCTGCTGAATGAAGTGTATATATAGAATTAGTGTCACATTAAAAGTTATGGCTCCTGAGTTTTCTTGTAGACATAAAGTCAAGGTATGTAACAAAACATCACAGCTTGCAAAAGGTGTCACTTGGATGCTGGAATGTTCTTGATTATATGCTTACTGTTAATATAATAATTGAAATTTGAGGCTTAGAACACTTTCCAATTTGATCTTCAACTGAACATGAATGTTTTGCTGATATTATCTTTTGGCTAACTTGCATTTAGTTTAACAATCCAAGGGGAAATTTCTTAAGAAAAGCAGCACTGGATTTCTCCTTTGAGAAGAAATGGAAAAATATTCTTGATAATTTCTGCCTGTGTGGCAAAGGTCTTAATTTCTATACTAAATCAGTAAGCAAGAAATCTTAAATTTTTACTCATGCTGTAAATATAATTAGCTTACGATGTGCTTAATTTTATACATTTCAGTTAGCACAAATAATATTTGACTGATTGTAATAAGACACTAAATATTTCTCCATCTGTATATGTAATTTGTTGATCTTGATTTATGTGTTCTATTTTTTCTTGTCGTATTTTTAATCAGATAAATATAGTTCATTTATATTTAAATAGGAATTTCAAATTTATGACATTTCTAACTACATCTATTTGACTTTATACCTTGACTATTCTCCATAAAAATTTAATTTTTTTTCTGATAACTATAGCATGAAGCCCAAATTTATGGGCTATAAATTGAGGCAATAAATTTTGGTGTAGATATGATATCAATTAAAAAAAAGATTAAGATTTATTGTTTTATATGTGCATAAAGTGTTCATAGTCTACATTTATGAACAAAAACAAAAGATGAACACATTTTAATTTCATTTTTCTTGTTAAGTGAAAACAATATCCCCTAAAGAGAAAAAGAATACATCTAAATTCAATCTTTTGTGTGAGTGGACGGTAAGATAATTCTTCATTTGAGCAATTAGAAATACAACTGTATTTGCTGGAGAACGTCTGTTCTGTCAATGCTATAGGCTGCAAATAACTCCATACTGGATACAATTCTCTTTGAATAGGTTGTAGTTACACTATCCAGCACCCACGATAAGTAAGTCAACGTGCAAAGTACTATATTCACACTATCTCATTCAATTCCAATAAAACCTCTGCTGGATACATATTGTTATCTCATTTACGGATTAGGAAACTGAAGCCAGAGTATCTTCTCCAAGTTCATATAAGCAGTAAGTGACGGATCCAGAGCTCCAGCTCAGCCAAAGCTTACACTCCTTAAAAACATCTTTCATCATCAGAAAAGGAAATGTGTAAACTCACAAAACTTACCTGTAGTAATAAACTTTGGCCTTGGGCCAAACACCTTCATAATTACATAGTTATTAGTACTTAGTACAAGTCCACATGAACACATAGCTGATTCCTTTCCCAATACGTACACAGTGTTGTCTCTGCTGTCCTTTATTATGCAGATTCGTTTAAAAATCCATTCCAATCTACATCTAAACATCATCAAAGCCCTGTTTTCTCTAAACATTCTTAACTATAACTCCAATTTAATTTTTTCTTCTTTTCTCTAGAAACTTGAAAAATTTGCATTCCTCTGATACCTACCTGTGACTACAAGTTTTGTCCCATCGCCAAAGACTTTTATGTCTCCACAGTGATTCAATCCATATCAAAAACTGTAGACTAATTTAGCATCCCTGATTTCTTCAAATCTTAATGTAACTATGACAGTCTGCTATTCAAGTGCATGTTTAGAGTCTGAACAAAATTTTTAATGAAATGTGCAGGCAAAAGGCATTATTTCTCAACTGTTTTTGTATTGACATAATTTTTAACTTTAAGGTGTAATTCAAATAAGAAATTAAATATTACACTTGAATATTTGACTTTTGTATGCATCCCTGAAAGCTTGTATGTTCAAGTTGCAAAAAACTCATATTTAAAAAACACAACATTTTTTATTTCCAAACATTTCTACTGCAAAATGAGAGAGCACCTTATATTCTAATATTTGAAACTATGCTTATTATATTTAGCCACTTTTAGAAGCAGTTAATAATTAGTCATAGAAACTGAGAATTTTTAAGTACTATTTGTTTTAAACTGGCCTAAGATGAGATGGTAATTAATACATTTATCTGTACTCCTGATTTCATAAAAAATTCCAGTGAGAATATTTTGAATTCTAGAGAAGGAATTGACTTTTTAATCACCTACCATGTCCCAACATTTATGGTAGGTAATTTTCATTTTTAATTTCATTTCATCCTCGGAACATTAACTTGAGATGGTTGTTACATAGATGGAATGAATCAGTGGAAATATATCAAACTGTTAACAGCGATATATCTATATAAAAATTTAATTTTTTTTTGTTTCTGTATTTTTCAACTTTTCCCCATTATGGGCATGTATTGTCTTTATAATTTTTTAAAGCAATAATCAATGAATTAAAATGTATTTGCTAAAGGATCGTCATTCATAAGTGACAGATTCAGAATCAAAGTCTGTGTTTTTCCTTCACTACGTGTTACTAAAAATCATTTTCCAGGACCCTCATGAGTTATAACTGGTTCACCTTCATTTAACTGGATTGCTATAATTTACATTGAATAGAGTCAGTTGCAAAAGCAGACCAGAATGTTGCTTTCCAATTTACAAACCTCATTTGTTCTTATGATCCCAACTACTAAAGAAATCAAAATACGTAATTTTTTTCACTTTTCAGTGCTTTATCAACTTTGCAAAAATTTTTAAAAACTTTCATTTCCATGGATCTCGTAGGATAGGAACATCCTCAAGAGATGTTCCCCATCATCCAGGCAAACTTTTATCTTTAAGGCAAATGAGGAGGGAACAAGTTTACTGGATTGAATTTAAGGGGAAATAAATCCATCTTAAGACATTCTTAAATATGGTCACAAAGTTAAATATCTTGAAACTTGATATTAATCATTCTCTGACTAAATAAGTTAAACAATATTAGTCCAAATTTTCCTTTGGTTGTTTTCGGAATTAAATTAAAAACTATCTAAGAGCTTTGAAATTTTCCAAGACCAAATGAATCTAATGTGTCCACCACAAGGGACTCACACTTGGTCTAACTGGCTAACTCTTGTCAGTATCCTCTCTACTAGGTCAGGAAAAGAACATACTCCAAAGACCTGGATGGAGTTACTGACCTCTCCAGACGTTCCCCGTGCCTATTCGTTACCAAACAGGGAGTAAACCCAAGAAATCTGAGCCAGCACCATCACTCAAGCTTGCAGTGCCTGTATTGCCTACCTCCCATCCTGACCTTACTACAGAATTTAAAGTAACTTTACCTGTTAACAATAAGTTGTGTTCCAGAACCAAACACTTTGATGCTCTGGCCACCTGTTTGCACTACCTAAAAGGCCTTTACAGAAATCTCCCTCTGTGCCTGCTCTCAAAGTGTGCCCATATCTTTTCAATATTTGTAGAAATATATAAAAATTGAACCTGCTAACATTAAATAAAGATGGCCCTCAAGCAAAAGCATATTAGGTACAAATGATCAAGAACTGAAAAACTGAACCCGCTCTTACTGGGCAGCTTGGGTTTATGTGGTCCCATTTCATTTCACATACATTGGAGAGTATGATTTCACCTTTTCTCGCCATTTTGCCTAAATCTTCTAAATATCCTCCCTTTAAAGTGTTTTCATGCATAAAATCAGTTCATGCTTAGAGTATACAGTAATGTTTCTTTAATTTCCAAAGTTGAACAATAATAGGAGTAATATATTTGAGTATTTCATAGATGTATATTTGTTACATTTTATAGGCATTTTGTGATATATATGTTTTAAGAGGAAAGTATCTGGGTTAATTCTAAAGTAACTTCTTTCCAGAATCTAATTCTCATCTAGCAGACAAAAAGAGTTGTTACAGACTGTGAATTTTTAATGATGATCTCTTAAGCTATTCCTTTGCTGAAAGACTGCTCACCTCTACCTAAAAATAACCTTGTGGTTTCAAGAGCATTGAAATAAAACCCTCCACTGCTCATCAGAGAATTTTATTCAGCCTTGTATTTCTCAAGTATTTGGTATCACATTTTCTGCACTATTTTAAAATTTTTATTTTATTTTGGAGTATAGTTGATTAACAATGTTGTGTTAGTTTCAAGTGTACTGCAAAGTGATTCTGTTATACATATACATGTATTTATTCTTTTTCAAGTTCTTTTCTCCTATAAGCCTTTACAGAATACCGTGTATACAGTAGGTACTTGTTGGTTACCTGTTTTAAATATAGTAGTTTGTATTTGATATTTTTCATTCCCATAATGACTGGAAAGGCAGCTCTAAGTTATGCAATTTAGCAAATTTGATGCCATACAAAAAGAAATTTGAGTTGAATGGTGTCAAAATGACTTATTCTATAAAAATAACCTGAAAATCCAATCTTGAGTATTTAATAAATGTATATTCAATATGACTTACATAATCTTTTCTGGGAGGAAAGAGGTCATTTCGTTTCCTGATTAGAAGCAGAAGCATTGTTTTCATACACGAGTAATAATATAAATTATGAATTATTGCTAATTAGTAGTCAACTACAGAATCCTTTTAAAAGGTCAGAATATAAAAGATTAAATATTCAGAAAGTAAAAGCAGGATGCTTCTCACATCACTTAATGATCCAGGCCATGTACTTAGGAATAGACTATCAGATTCCAAACTTCACCACAGTAACTAGTCATGTACTTTATTTAGGCAAGTGCCTGAACTTCTCTCAACCTCAGTTTCCCTATCTATGAAATGGGAATATGAGAACTTCTATTGAGGAAAGAGATAAGGCCCTAAGGCTACTTATCATGGTGTCTGGCCTTCAGTAAACAGGAGCTGATATTATTATTCTCTTTAAAAAGGTGGTCTGCAGCCATTTCATTAAAATCTTCTAACAAAGAACATAGAGTTTATATTTCTTAGCTGTGTCCAATATGGATTTTATATGCAATAATCATTTTATCTATTAAGAAAGGAAACAACCTCATCAGTTCAAGACTTCCTCCCTCTCTGGCAGCCACAGGCCATAGAACATTGGGCTCAATCATGTTGGGATCTATAATGATTTTCTGTTAATCAAGAAACTCTTTGAGTGTTGAAACTTGTTCTGTCTTGTGTCTTGTTCACCTTTTTATCACCAGCATCCAATACAGAAACTGTCCTCAATAAATGTTTGCTGAGAGAATAAGCAAATAAGGATGTCCAACCATGCAGACTCTTTTCATCGACTTTGGAGTGAGATGACTCATTGAGCTTACAAATTCCATGAAACTGGTCCATATGCAGGCTATGTAACAAGAGATGTGACTGCATAAATTTCAACTGATCTCAGCCTCCCTCTAAGAATTTAGAGTAATAAGAAGTGGAGTAGTAAGAAGTGGGATTTATCTATCATCATTTACTATAATTTTTTTCCACTGCTGTTAAGGGTGAGCTGAAAACCAAAAATGGCCTTTTTTCAAGTTATTAGGAGAAAGAAATACTGTGCTGACTATAGAGAAGAGATAAATTAGAAAACTGTTTCTCACTTAAAAGTCCATTTATTAGAAAAGAATTTTGAACCAGTAACTTATACCAACAGATTACAGACATAGCCCTCAAAATACTTTAATTTCTACCCTGAATCTATTCTTTGTTGGTTAAAAAGTTGAATTTCTAAAAGTAGAATTCCAACTTCTTACAAGCAAGGAAGTGAATAAGCCATTTACAAGACAGTTTTGTTTCCATATACAATGACCAGTAGTTGCAAAACTCCTGTTCATACGCTGAGGCCAAGAATGTGGCAGTCAAATAGGGGGAATCCTAAATTGTTTTCTTCTAAAAGGCAACTATTTTCACTATTAAGTTGAAATAGGAAAAAGTTACTTACCAGGAGGTATTACTACGACCTTAGTTCCTTCACCAAATACCTTGATCCAGATTGAACTGTCACAATGATTGGAGCTTCTAAAAAAATCTCAGCCTTCTCTTTGCTTCAATATGTGATTAGAAGTTTAAAACACTTTGTGGTGAAAATTTGATCTTCTGACTTTTGAAAGTCCTTGAACATAGGTTTCATGGCATCCAATATGTATAGATTTTCCTCAAATCAGTTGACCCAAATGTCTTTCATTTTCCTCTGAGTCATAAACATTAAAAAGCACTGATAGATAATGGAAAGCGTAAAAACAGAAAGAGAAGAGTTTGGCATCAACCGACTGCTTTTCTAAATTTCCAGGAAAAGTATTCAGAGAATTAGGGCTTTCTTTTTATTTTCAGGTGTTCGGTTTTGTTGAAACTGTTCAGAGATTTCATCAAAGAACATCTCTTCTGTTCTCACAAACCCCAGGGCTGCTTCATTAGTAATTTAGGAATGTATTTCTGAAAGGCAGAAACACTTAGGTAACTGAAAATGCAAATATACCAACATAAATACAGTGAGCAATGTGAACAAAGTTTTTCTTTTTTCATAAAAAACACTTTCACTATTGGGTCACATGATTTTTACAAAGGCAATGTCAAATGAGAAAATTATTTCTGTGATGACATATTATTTGTCCTGGAATAAAAGAAGAAATTTGTAGAACTCTGTCTCTTGGAAATAATAGTTTATTTATTTAAATTAAAACTTAAAAACTAAATCTAGTTCTCTGGGTAAGTTGAAAGAAGTCTTGGGATGCTGCTCTGTAATGTTATATCACTTATCTTGGATTGGGGGAAAAGAAATTGCCAGAAGCTGCTGAGTGCTCCTCTGAACACAGATGAGTTGCCCATCTCCAGGATTCAGACAGAACAGGTCCTGAGCACCCCCACCTCAGGTGGATCCACCTGAGATCCACCTGGTCCTGGTCTAATCCCCTGTGAGCAATCAATTCCTCTGTCCTGAGGATGAATGTAAGAGATCATGCTGGGCAACTGTCCATTCACAGCAGCTCACGGACCCCAACACAATGGGAGAGGATGAGAGACCTGGATGAAAATCATGTTTAGAAAGGGCTTTTAACTGAAAATTCCAAGGTATTTTTACTTGGAGCTGTCCAATAAATACCCTTTCCATCTATTGTAGGTAAGAATGATACCTGCCCACTCAATTGCTTTCTGATCCTTTTCCTCTGTTTTCCCTAATTCCAAGAAAATGAGCAGAATTATAAAGTATTTTAGGAGGTATCTGTATTTCAAGATCCACAAAGGTAGTAAAATACAAAAGAGTAAATAAAGAGTTATAAAATCCTTTATTAAATTAGAAGAACTATATGAAGAGTATATCTTAATGAAGAAAGTAAAAGTATTAGTTGCTCAGTCATGTCCAACTCTTTCTGACTCCATGGACTGTAGCCCACCAGGGTCCTCTGTCCATAGAATTCTCCAGGCAAGAATACTGAAGTGGGTTAGCCATTCCTTTCTCCAGGACATCTTCCTGACCCAGGAATCGAACCTGGGTCTCCCACATTGCAGGCAGATTCTTTACCATCTGAGCCATCAAGGAAGCACAATATCTTACTAAAGAGCATAAAATAAAACCTAAATAAACAGAGAAACATGTCATATTTGTAAAGGAGAAACTCAAGAGGATAAAGAAGCTAATCTTTCCTAAAAGCATGTATATAAGTTGACCACAATTCCAATCAGAATTACAGTAACATTTTATTTCTTGGTCTTTGCTGTGAAGTGTGGGGGTGGACTAGATAAGTTGATTTCAAATTCTAGTGGGAAGAATAAATACGAGATAATTGAAAAATATTTTTAAAAACAATGGTGAAGAGACATTGCACATAGTAGATTTTATCACTTATTACAAAGCTACTAACTAAAATATAATATTTTATATTTCAATGATAAGGAAATATATTATTTTAAAACCAATTTTGGACTATTGACTACTATGTTGGGAAAAACAAAAATAGCTCTCTACCTCATACCATATAAATGGGGTTCTAAGTAGATCAATATCAATATTTAAATGAAAAAGACTCTAGAGATGTGATCTAGAAAGAAGCAGGAGACTGCATCTGTTGTGTGGGGAGCTTGAAAAGGGAAGAAACATAGGATCATGTTTACATGATACTTAATGTTTCAGAAGGAGGCACACTTGGAGAATATTCACTTTTTACATATTTTTCAAATAAACATTTTTTGAAAGGATAAATGGTGGTGACTTATTGAACACTTTAGTGACAGGATCAGATCTGTGCTTTAGGAACATAATGTAAGAGCAGAAAGATGGATGGGTCAGTGGACCACTCCTGAGAAAGCAGACATGTTTCAGAGACAATCACCATGAGCTACTGAGAGGCGTCTGTGGACCCAGTTATTGTAGTTCAGTGGGGATGGACGGAAGGGCTGGTGCAATAAATATTAACAGGTTCATCAGGTTTCTAAGGAATTCAAATGGGAGAAATCAAATTAATGTTAAGGAGGTTGAAAGTGAAGGAAAAGATGTTTTAAAATCAGAAAGATAGAGCTCCAATTCTAACCCCACCACTCCTGGTGACATGTCCTTGGATACATCTCAGAGGGTCAGTTTCCTCATCTTTAAAACGGAAGTGTTAGTATCTATTTCTCAGTATGTTTGTAAAGTTCATAGGAGGTAATGTGTCTAGAAGAGATGAGGCAAAATTCGGGAACAGAGAATTCACTTTCTCGCAAAGAATAGAAAAATCTTAGTGCTGTGTTCAAAAATCAATAATTTTGCTTTTAACCCTGCTTCACGTAACACACGCACACATACACACAACTCACTACATTCTGAGGTGACCAACTAAGGCACTAAAATCCTACTTTAGTATGAAGAATGAATAGAGAAATATATAAATAACAAACAAGTCAAGTGAAGTAAAGTACTAGTTTCAAAATGACCCCTTGAATTTTTGCATTGTTTTTTCAAGTATGATTGATGATTTCATAGTTGACCAAATTTATCAAATTTGGCAGATCACCAAAAGTTATGAATCTCATATTATGATCATTGTTAGGATTAAGTGGTTATTTCTGTCCTGGGCTTACTGATTACCCTGCACATGTCAGCTGGAAAATAAGAATTTCTACAGTTGCCCTAAGTCATAGAGAGAAATAGCAGTTCTCTGCCTTGGATCTGAGAATTTGGGTTTGGGGCTTTGTCTTGACAGCTAATGCTATTCTCAGATAGTACATCAGAGATTCTAGCCTGGTTTGTGGTTTCCTTTCTACCAGAAGAACCCAAGTTCCCAGGGTCTCCTGCCTCCTCCTTTCAGATCTCATTCCATGGGAAACACCTAAAGAACTGCCGGGTTCCTTCATTGCTTTTTTTCTCAAGGCCAAAGAAAGCCAAAGATGTGGAAGGTCAAGAAAACACCATCTGTTTTTCACAAAATATTCTTGCATGGTATTAAAGGACACAGAGACATATGCTCTTTACTGAGATAGGAAAGTTTTGGGAAAAAACAACACAAATTGTGCAGACTGGGGTGAAGGAATGGATTGGAATCAATTTTATTCTGGCAACTTATCAGCAATCCAAGAAGAGATGTATTTAGCTGTATTGTAAGGGTATCAATTTTGTTGTTATTGCTCTTCTTTATGTGATTTTCAAGTCTGGCTGGTAAGAAACGCAAAAAGCAGATCATGGCTACCAAACTTGGAACCAAGTGCATGGCCATCAAGTTAGAATTAGTCCCAGGTTTCAGACTGAAGAGCAGGAAATTTAGGACTTGGTTGGGTAGGTCCTTCTGTAAGTGATGTTTACAAATGTATTCATGAGGAAAGCAATCTCCACATTTGATGTGTATGCCAGGAAAACTATTCTAATCTAGAATTTCAGAACAGATGGGAAGCTACAGAAATGAAGGGGAGTAAGTAGCCATAGGAAAACAGAAGGGAGGTAGACAGATCAAGGAGTCCTGACCTTTACCCTTTCTCAAGAGTGTGGCAGTCACATAATTTATCTACAAATCAGACCTGATTGGGTCCTGGGGACATCATGTATGAAGACAAGCCATTCTTGTCACAGCTCCCTTTGAGAGAAATGCAATTGTACTAAAAGGAGCTCAATGCTAAACACAAGACAGGCAGGAAAAGGCAATGCTCTGAGAGTCTGAAAAGCAGATGTGCCCTACCTCTGTGGTTAACTGGTTTTGCAAAAGCCACTCGTAATCTCTGAGCCTCAGCTTTCTTATCTGAAGTGTGGCCATTGGACTAAATTTGTCTTGAAGGCCCTTCCTGTTTGAAAAGCTATGAACCCATGATTAAGAGCCTGTGGTTGCTTGAGTGGTGGTGGAGGCAGGGGCAGATGAGGGTTAGTAATAGAGAAGGTTTTCTTCCACGTTCCTTCTGACTCTGTAATACTGTGAGATCCCAGCAGGCACAGTAGTACGTGGCTTCATCAGACTTGACAACATTGTTGATTATCAGGTAAAAGATTCCGTTCTTTTTGCTATCCATCTCCAAGCGGGAATTAGGTTTGTCCAGCTTATAACTATTAGCTGAGCCATAAAGGATTTGTGTCAGGGGTTCCCCTTCTTTCTCTTGATACCAGTGCACAATGGCATTCTCCAGGGGAACCCCTGACAGCTTGCATCTTATGTGCACTGTTCTGTCTGGTCTTCGGGTAGAGGAGAGTTGCTCCTGAGAAATTTTCATTTTGATGTCTCCATCTGAAAAGCAAGGGAGGTAATCAGAGGCATTTAAAAAGGCTGACGCTGGACACAAAAACAATGAAAAGAAAGGGGAGAGGATAGAAGTCAACCTACAAACCCAAGCCAAAGACATGAGGAAAATCCACACCGTTGGCATTGCAGTAATTGGTAAGAATAGGGTGTGAATCAGGACAGGATGGGAGATGCAGTGGCAGCACTTGTTCTGTGGAGGCAGGGATGTGGGAGGAAGCTTTGCTTTAGAACCAATGAAAGTCATTCTCAGATCTGTCACAGTATTATTTTTTATCATCTTACTGGTATAAAAGAGCTTTCAGACTCCCAACAACCTCATCAAAA